ACACACACACAAACAAATAAAAACAAATACACATATCTGTAACTCTTAACTATACGTATGTATGTGGACTGTTGATTGTGTTAAGGCATGACACATACTACTGCTGAATATGTGATTCAGATGTGTTTTTTAACATCAAGGCTTCCTTTCTTAGGGGGAATAAATTTCTCGTTGCTTTACGTGCAAGCAAATTGCTAGGGGTCCTTGAATTGTTCACCTCAAAAACAGAAGCCACTGCAATACCCATAAAACAAGCCCACTCATGGCAAAATGTCCTTGTATGTTATTAGCCTCATGTAGGACTTGAGATAAATTTAAAAGTCAATCAAAAACAGTCTGAGCTAGCAAAGTCACTTTCAAGACTAACTAAGTAATTACAGAAAGCTAAAACTGACACATACTGTACACAAAAAATAATCCACTATGGAAAATGAGCTGTGATACAAAAAAATAACTACATATAAATAACCCTTTAAGGTGAACATTATCTCCAATTTAATAATGGCTTTGAACAAAACCTATTTCCTCCAGGATGTCAGAGTCTGGGCACTGTTATAACACTGAGCAGAAAGTAAGTGGCAGTGGCTAATTTTGTAGCTCGACATTACATGCACCTGAAACCTGAAGTCCAAACTGGATGATATGTGATACAATGATGCATTTAAAATCACTGTAAACTCACAGGGTTCTCCGGTTAATGTCGGACGAACTAGCTGAACACATATCAGTCGCACTGGAACAATCAATCTTAATTACAACAGTAAGGTTGTTCCATGTATGTTTGTATTACTTCACACATGACCTGAAAGCCATGAATTACCACTATACCAGTTTGTTTTAACATCTAATTGTAGTGACACTTTCAATAAATAACAATTACAGCATACAGTCTGAAACAAACACAGAATGGCCACAGAAATGCCTAGATGCCACAAAGTGCAATCTCAGTCCTCAGCATATATACTCATTAATTCAATCTGAGCATGCAGTGTGTAGTGTCAATAAAGTCTATAGGGGTTCAGGGCATAGGGCATAGTAGGCTGAACACTGAATTAGCCCATTCTGTTCACATGAACTCTGGAAATTACTATTTTGGCCTCATCTCGTCTTGATTAAATTCATATATCAAAAATGTTCTAATGTCAAGAACAAAAACAAACACCATCAATCTGGACAAACAGTCCCATGTTCAAGCCAAGAGTGACAAATAATGATGAGGAGAATAGTCAAAGGAATATATCAAACACACATGGGTGCAGCTGAGAAGATTGTTAGTGGAGATTTGCTAGCTAGTGTATCATAAGCCACAATTTAAAATATATATTAATATTATGTAACATCACAAATGAGTTTGGAGGTTATTTTCCTGACAGCACATTGACGGCATAAATTCCCAAATTAACTGAAAATATGTGGTGGATGTAGTGAACAGTATTCCACCAAGGGTAGAACACTTTTTATTTTTATTTGGAGGTAAGAGAGGTAATTAAGAGAGGTTCTGGAAATGGAAACTCTGTAGCCCACTTTACAGAAGCAGTACATGAGATATTGTGGCTGCTGACTACTTTATGCTGTCTAATTGATTATCTTTGCTTATTTCTCAATGTCAAATGAGGCAATACCTTATAATTTGCACATTATGTTTGACTGGCATACTTTATGTGTTCATAATCCAATGAAAACAAAGTCAAGACTACAGTTTTTAAGGTTAATAGCGATTGTTTTTGTAGACTGTATTAATAAAGAGAAGATTTGTGCTCGGCTGACGTGCCACACACACATTTTGAATGAATGGACAGGTCCTTGGTTATTCCTTGGTGCCATTAAAAACAGGAGTCTTCCCTCAAAGTGTCCCAGAGGTCTAAATAAAGGCTATGAATTAATCTCTCCTTATTCCCAATCTTGCCTTTAAACTGCAATCCAAGCCAGTCGGACTGGGTATAACATTCAAAGCACGAAAAAGGAAGAGTGTGAATGCAGTACAAAAAAGACAAACTAATTGAGTGAAGGAATCAGAGAGAGAAAAAGCAGGATAGTAAAAAATGCCTTTAACACCAAGAAAGATAGTGTGCATTTATTGAGCAT